GGGGATCGAACCCTGTCTCTTTTTTTTGAGACAGGGTCTAGCTATGTACCCCAGGCTGGCCTGGAACTCCTGGTGATCCTCCTGCTTCAGCCCCTTGAGTGCTGGGATTACAGCCATGTCAGGCTCTTCCTAACAGAACCAAGCCTGTTATTTTGGAGGATTGAAAGTGGGAAATCCATCCCCACCACCTAGGTTAGATCCTAATAGGCAGAGAAACAGGGACAGTCCCAGGTAAGGCCATATTTTTTTTTTTTGGTACCGGGGATTGAACTCGGGACCTCGCGCTTGCGAGGCAGGCACCGGAACCACTGAGGTAAATCCCCGGTGATAAGGCCATATTTTGTCTGAAAAATCCAATGGGCTCCTAGAAAGAAAACACTGAAGTCATCTATGTGCCCTTCTCCCTGGGAATTAGGATTCTAAGTGGTCCCAGAAAATAGGTGGCCAAGAGGCCTGAAGGACCAGGCAGTCAGGCCCTCAGCCACACCATGAGCACTTCGCTGGTACAGTGCTGCACGCCTGTAATCTCAGCACCTGGGAGGCTGAGGCAGGAGGATTGCAAGTTTGAGGCCAGCCTGGGCTACTTAGTGAGACCTGTCTAAAAACATGAATAACCAAAACTCATAAACTACTACCACTTTTTGCAAACAGCAACTTCTAGTCAGCTTATCTCAAACTTGGAACCGATACCCCTGCTCTGTCTCCAAATGTTTCCATCCTGCGATGGTTTTGTGTTTGGAAAAGGAAGACTTTCATCCTTTATGTCTATTTTTCTCCCTTAGAAAATACTACCATGGGCTGGGGATTTAGCTCAGTGGTTCTGCTGCTTGCCTCGAAACCGTAAGGTCCTGAGTTTGTTTCCTAGTACCAAAAAAAAGAAAAAAGAAGAAAAAGAAAATACTACAGTGCATCTTCTTAAAACTTGCAGTTTGGTACCAGATACATGTATCAACTAACCAAACAACAAAATGTAACTACTTAACTTTTTTTTTTTTGGTATCAGGGATCGGGACTTTGCGCTTGCCAGGCAGGCTGTGGTACCACTGAGCTACATCCCTGGCTAAACAATAAAATGTAAATGAAACTCCCAGCTACTCAGGAAGCTGAGGCAGGAGGATCTCAAGTTTGAGGCCAGCCTGGGCAACTTGCAAGATCCTATCTCAAATTTTAAAAATGAAATACAAAAGAAGGGCTGGGACAGGCTGGGGATTTAGCCCAGTGGTTCTGCCACCTGCCTCACAAGTGCAAGGTCCTGAATTTGATCCCGGTACCAAAAAAAAGGGCTGGGAATGTGGGTCAGTGATAAAACACTCCCAGGTTTGATCCCCAGTACTGAAAACAAAAAAACTCTGTCACTGTGAATGGTACCAGCCTAGTCTTTTTTGGCAACTACTCTTACTACTCCAACCCAGTCCCAGTGCCCAGCCCATAGTCTTCTGAAAAGCGGCAGCACCTAATACATCTTTATTTACTCTCTAACCCTGAAATTGGGCCTGGGGGAAGTCTTAGTGTGCACAAAGGACATAGCTCAACATCACTCAACAGCGGACTTATGGCTCAAATACACTTGTGGGGCTGGGCTCTAGCTCAGGGGCACAGCACTTGCCTAGCAGGTGCAACACACTGGATTGCATCCCCAGCACCATGCACACCTTCACACCTTCACACTGGATTCTCTCTCTCTCTCTCACACACACACAAACACACACACACACACACACACACACACACACACACAGTGATAGTGGGATTGGGTACACAGTGCTAACAAGGATCTCCAAGACATAGATGTGGAGGGCTAGGCATGGTGACACAAGCTTGTGATCCCAGGACTCAGGAGTCTGAGGCAGGAGGATTGTGGACAGTTTGAGGCCAGCTGGGACTACATTGTGAATTGAAGGCCAGCCTGAACTACACAATGAGACCCTCTCAAAAAAAAAAAAAGAGAGAGAGAAAAAAGACATAAATGGGGTTGGGGGAAGCAGTCACAAAAAAATATAGTTTGGGTCTAAAATATCCCCCAAGGCAGGTATGGAGGCACATGCCTATACTTGAGAGGCCAAGGCAGGAGGATCACAAGTTTGAGCCCAGCCTGGGCAACTCAAAGAGACCCTGTCTTGAAGCAAAAAGGGGTGGGGACCTAGCTTGGAGGGAGAGTGCTCCTGGGCTCAATCCTCAGTGCCACAAAATAAAGTCAAATGTCCCCAAAGGCTGCGCTCCAGGAGGGGCTTTGGGAAGGTGATTAGAGGGCTGGGGCTCTAGGGATATGACGGGCTGGGATGAAGCAGGGGCGGGGCTGGCTGAGGGTAGTGGCTATGGGCTGTGACCTTGGGGACTAGCGCTTGTCCAGGGCCTTTTCCTCTGGGCTTGTCACTGCTTCCTGCTTTCACTGCTTCCTATCAGGGAAGCAGCTTTCCTCTTCACACTCTTCCTCCATGTTTCTGCCTTGGACTCAGCTGACTATGGACTGAAATCTCTGAAACTGGGAGTCAAAGGAAACCTTTCCTCTTTCAAGTTGATTATCTCAGGCATTTTGTCCCAGCAATGGGAAGCTAGCATAGTACTTATGAATGAGAAATCTGTCCCCGAAGAATAAGCTCACTTAACCCCACCTAAAGGCCATAACTCTAAGTACATGGTGTATCACCCAGCCACCCCAGCCTCAGGACATATTACTATTATACCCATTTAACACCACTGGGACCCACTGAGGTCCAAAGACTCACTAGGCCAAGGTCACACAGTGAAGTGGTAGAGTCTGGGTTAAAGCTGGCAATCTGGGACAATTCCCTCTCCAGTTATCAGGGGTGACCTCTGGAGAGAGGTGAAAGTGGGTCCAGTGAACATGTGCAAGAAAACACTTCGTTTCTAACATCTCTTGAGTTTAGCACTGAGGCCAGCTTTTTTTTTTTTGGTACCGGGAACTGAACTCAGGACCTTGTGCTTTCGAGGCAGGCGGTGTGGCACCACTGAGCTAAATCCCCGGAGGTCAGCTTTTTTTTTTGTACCAATGATCAAACTCAGGACCTTGTGCTTTTGAGGCAGGTGGCAGTGCCACAGAGCTAAATCCCTAGCCCCAGCTCTTTGTTGTTTTTTTTTTTTAGGTACTGGGGATTGAACTTGGGTCCTTGCGCTTGCACAGCAGGCGGTGAAACCACTGAGCTAAATCCCCGGCCCCTCTTTGTTGTTTTTGAGACAGGGTCTCACTATGTAGCTCAGGCTGGCTTTGAACTATGTGGTCAAAACTGGCCTTCTTGCCTCAGCCTCCCGAGTGCTGGGATTACAGGCACATGCTAGAAAGCCCTGCAGCTGCTTCTATTTTGTCCCTGCATCAAACTGACAGGCTGCAAGAGGTAATGGAGAGGAATCTTTTTACTTCTTGGTTGTATATTGCTTAACTGTTTTACAGACTTAAAAACAAAATCCTCCTGCCCTTCTGGACCAATCTGAAGGACCTGCCTCAGCACCTGGGCCTGATGTACCCTCCAAGTATCAGGGCTGTCTGTGTACAGCAGCTCCAGCTCCTGGTTCACACTAAGCCTAACAAGCAGTGTGAACTACAGGCGTATCCTCATCAGCCCCTGGGTCAGCCTTTACTGGGGGTGAGGCTAACTTTTCTCAACCAACCTCATAGGGTGCTGTGGGGACTGAACAGTTGTAAAATGTAAGGAATCTCAAAGGTGCCAGGCTCTAATGCAGCATAAGGAACATTAGCTATTATTTATTAAACTCAAATTTGCCAACTGTAACCGAAGCCTCGTTTCCACACCTATGGATCTCAAGATGTATGCATTTCCATTTACCAAAACAAGAACTGGAAAAGGATATGCCCCGAAAAGGAGACCAGGGAAGGTTGCAGTTCACTTTTTTTTTGGGGGGGGGAGACAGTCTATGTAGTCCCAGCTGGCCTCAAACTCCATAATCCTCCTGCCTCAGCCTTCCAAGTGCTGGGATTATGGTGTGGGCCACATGCTCAGCTCTCTACCACATTTTGAGGGTTCAGAGGCCTCAACACATCAAGCACTTGGGAGAATTTTACTGCTACACCTACCAGAGATGGAAGTAGTATGGAATGGAGAGAACCTGGCAGCTCCAAACAGCCCGTTTTCCTTCACTTGGCAGCTCCAGCACCTTGGTCAGTCAGAGGAGGGCTGCATACCTGGAGGGACGAGAAACCACTGTGTATTCACTGTGCCCTCCCGGGAACTGAGGAGAACCCATGCTTAGGGTTTAGGGTCACATGAAATAAGGGGTTTGATAATGAAACAAACTGGACTATTTCTTGACTGGGGCTGGCAGCTTCAACCACTGGCCCTTCACCTCCCAATTCCTCAGGGGTCCCCTCTGGGTGACTTAGTCTGGGCCACTAGAAGTAGAGGGCGGCAAGTTTGAAAAGCACTAGAGGCGGCTGCAATCTTGCTATCTGGCCAGGCCTACCTGCTCCCCCTTGTGACCAAGGTGGCACAGTGCAAAGTCATGGGAGTAATTTGCTCAAAATTTCAAAGACCACGTGAAATTCAAGTGACACAAAACTGCTGACCCTGGAGACACAGCTAACACCAATAGCGACCCCTGGGGGAACCTCTGGGGCGGTGGCTACAGTGCACTGGGTGGGGGTGGGGAGTGGCAGGCGGGGGTGACCAGAAAGGCACAGCCTCACTCAAGCTGAGGCGGTAGTGGAGGCATCCCGTGAAGGCACTCCCCCTTGCCAGAGACGGCTGGTCACTGGGCATAGGTTGAGTGGAGTCATCACCCACTTTCACTCACCATCTGACAGCATCATCGGTATGTTTGACTTTCCATTATTATTACAGTCACTGCCGCTAAAACCAGCCACTATTAGCCGAATTATGCAACAGAAGATGGATGCATGCTCCAGAATCTGGGAATCCAATTCTTGCTGCAGTGTGAGTGTGTCAAGTAACATCTGCAGGTTTAAAAGGGCAACCGGCAGAATCACACCCTGCCAGAAGTTTTGAATGTGGAAGAAAAACACAAAGCCTAAAGCAAATAACTTTATTATCATTCCTTATTAAAGAACCATGTAGAAAATACGCAAAACACCAACAGCTGCGATTCAGGGGGTGAATGAAGGACCTTGAAGCGCAGAGCTGCCTGGTTTCTAGGGGGTCTCTGCAGTGGGACCCAGGAATCTGCTTTTCTAAAATAGGTTCTCCCGCTAATATTCCACTGGCCACAGAACTTGGTAACGTTCCCCCCTTCCGAAATCCAGGCTGGAACGTGACTAATCCTAAACTCAAACTCAAGAGCTGCACCCAATCCCACCTGTTGTTTTCCAGGATGTCAAATTCTGGAGGAAGGACATTCTGCCTGTCATGCTTTCCCGGCTAAGGGCACCTGTCTAAGCGTGGACCAGCGGTTCCACCACAGTGTCACCCAGCTCAGGCCATGCTCCCCACCTGATGTCACACTCATCTCTCTGTGACACCAGGTGGGGAGTAAGTCCAAGAAGGTGACAAGAGGCTTCTAAGCAAGGAGGTGTGCTGGCTGCTGGCAGAGTCTCCACCAGTCCCCTGGGAGCCAGTGATGTCCATGGCGCCAGGACAGAGATGTCATAAGGGAGCGAGCAGGAGACCACACTCAGGGGAGCTGGTGGGCCTGGGGCGCCTGGGTCCCAGACAGCGCTGGAACGAAGGCACAGCTGCAGGAGACAGAACCGGCACCAGACACCACCTCCTCACGCATGGCGGCTCTGTGCTGGGCTGGTGCCTCACTCCACCCTGTCAGAAGACGCCTACCCGGGGACAGGAGGGGGAGGACAGGTGGGCACGCTGCGGGCAGCATCTTGGGGAGTGCCAAGTCCCCGCTCACTTGGGGCCCAGGCACTCCACGACTCCGTTCCCCTTCATGCCATCAAAGAAGAAGAAGTTGTTGTGAGGAGGATCGCGCTGTGACAGGGCCTGGGGAGCAAAACAAAAAGGGAGTTCAGCTCCAAAGGGGTAAATGGAGAGTAAACAAACCAAAACAGGCCTATCTTCTAAAAGCCTAGGGAAAAAGTGAAAATAAAAGCGGTCCTCAGATGGCAATGGTTCTTAAATGGGATAGAATTTGCTCTGCAGGGGCTCTCTGGGGCTGTCAAAAGAAAAATTTTTTGTTATTTTGAGGTAAGAGTCTTGGTATGTAAGTCTAGGCTGGTCCTGAACTCAGGATCCTTCTGACTCAGCCTCCCCAAGTACTGGGATTATAAGCACATGCTATAGTGCCCAGTTCCATGCCTGTATTTTTAGATTTTTATTCTGAGACACTGTCCTGCTAAGTTGTTTAAACTGCCTCAAAAGTCCAATGCTCCTGCCTCAGCCTCCCAAGAAGCTGGGATTATAGGTATGTGCCACCATATCTGGCTGAGGAGACAATTTTGATTGTTATGTCTCTTTGCTATTACCTACCAGATGTGTGTGTTTGGGCAGATCATTTAACCTCTCTGTGTTTTGGGGGTTTAGAGACAGGGTCTCACTGTGTAGTTCAGGCTGGCCTCAAAATCACAACAATCCTCCTGCCTCAAGCTCCCAAATGCTAAGATGATACGTGTGCACCACCACGCCCAGCCATTTAACCTCTCTGAACCTTACTTTTTCCATGTCCAGTGAGAACAAGTGCACTGCATGGAGTATTAAAACATGGTACTCCATAAATACCCCAAACAACGGGCAGCAAAGTAGAACCACTGTGCAAGCAGCAGAGATGAATCCTTAGGACTGTGCAAGTGAGAAAGGCAACAAGTCAGTGCTACTCGTCTTATGCTCCAGCCTTCACCATCTGAGGGGACACATTAACTGAGGGACATACTGAGGCAGGAAGTGGCTCCCTCGTGAGGATACTAGGTGGCTAATCTCTCACAGGACAGACCAGGGATGGAATCTAAGAGAGCTGAGCAATGTCAATCAGCCATGGGAACCATGGTTATCTTGGGTTAACAGGACCACGCACTTTTAAAGATGAGGTTAGATCCTTGGAATTAATATATCCACACTGTTGAGGAACTGCTCATTGACATTCGTTTTGCTGTTTTTTGCGGTATGTGGGATTGAACCCAGGTCTTGCCAGATTGTCCAGTTGGCTAGAACTGGCCACCCTCCTGCCTTAAGCTCCATGAGCGCTGGGATGACAGGCTCGCACCCCTGAGCCCAGCCCTCCCTGGGTTTTCCATGTGAAATGGAGACCCGAGGCTGGGGCAAGCAGCCTTGACCCCAGTCTTTGTGAGGGCTTGTGAGTCATGTACATGCACACATTTTTCTAAGGAATAGGTTCATAGGTAATGCAAGGCTGTAAAGAGGTAGTTAACCCCCAAAAGGTGGAAGAGTCACCATGAGCTACCATTTGGAAAGGAGGACATCACCTAAACAAGCTCCTAACACAACAGTTTATTGGCTCCCAGGAGCACGGATGCTCATCCTTTTCAAGAAGGAACCCCCATCCCCATTCCCACTTCGTTTCCTCATCCGCAAATGGACAATTATGTGTACCTCAGGTACAGGTTTGAGTATTCAGCCAAGTAAAATTTACTGGGCTTCTACTCTGTGCCAGATTTCGTGTTAGACATTACGGATACTGAGAAGGTCCCTGCCCTCAGAAGGAACTTGGATCAGGAAGAGCCATGTGTGGTGGCCATGCCTGTAATCCCAGCACTCAGAAGGATGAGGCAGCAGGAGAATCGCTGTGTGAGGTCATCCTGAACTGCATAACTGCATAGTGAGACCCTGTCTCAAAAAAAACAAAAGAAAGAGAAAAGAAAAAAGAGACTTGCCTATACAGTGAAGAAATAAATATCACTTGTCTATCTGCCTACTAGAAATTCTGCTGAAGATAAAATATGAACAGATTTGTAATGTGCCTAGCACATTCTCAATTCTCAATAGCTAGGAGCTTGCTATTATTAATGGGGACCAGGGGTGCACTACCAATATATCTGAGGGATGCCACACACTCAGGCAGGTGGAATGGCCTAGCAACCCACAGCTGGAAGTTCTAGGACCAAAGTTACAGATGATCCATTTTATAAATAAATAAATAGATTTATTATTATTATTACATTTACAGATGGGCTCTCACTATATTCCCAGGTGAGCCTGGAACTCTTGGCTCAAGGGACCCTCCTGCTGTAGCTGCTCAAGCTGCCGGGACTATAGTCATGTGACACTGTGCCCAGTCTGATCCATTTTCTAATGAGGGGCTGGGCAGGGAGACCGCCATGGACCAAGAGACAGAGGGAAAGCAAGGGTGGTTTGTGCCTCGGGAGTGCACCATGACAGTGGTAGATGGAAGAATAAAAGGAAGGAAACAAGAGATGATCCCAAGGGAACAGACTGTACATTTGTCCTCTGGCTCCTATGTTTCCTTTTTATAGGTGGCCAGATGGGGCCTTTGGTGCAGAGCCCTCTTGCCAGCTGGTTGAAGGCTGGGTCAGTGACAAGGGGAGCGGCAGGATGAGAGCAGGGCACGGGGTGAACATGGGCAAAGCGTAAAGTGCTCCCCAGCAAGACGGGGTTGCAGGAGATTCCAAACACACCCAGCAACCAAGAATGCAGAGTGCACTGCTTTCTGGGGTAAACAGAAACAAGATGCTGGGCAACAGCTGTCCCCAGTGGGCAGGAAGGAGGGAGCAGCATTAGGACTGGGATGCAGAGAAGCCATTGCAGACGACGGGGTCAAGGCCACCTGCCCCAGCCATCCACCTCCGCCCCAGAGGGGAAGCTGGAGCAGGATGTGCAGGGTTGAGCTGAGGTGCAGGACAGCAGCCCTGGGCCCTGGCTGAGTGTGTGGATACAGGGCCACTTTAGGCAACACCTGAAGCCTGACTGCCAGGTAGGGAGGAACACAGGCTCAGGAACCAGACCTGGAGGGCACAACTGGTAGCTCTGCCATTTTTTTTCTGCAGCACTAAAGATCAAAAGCAGGCCCTTGTGCGTGCAAGGCACAGGCTCTAGCACTGAGCCATACTCCACACTGCTTGTCTGGTTGGCTTTTTATCCCCACATCTGTGTTGCCCAGGCTGGCCTCAAATTAGTGATCCCCCTGCCTCAGCCTCCTGAGTAGCTGGGACTACATATGTGTGCCACCACTTCTGGCTATTTGATTTATTTATTCAAGTTACCCTCCTCCCCAAGACAGAGTCTCACTGTATAGCTCAGGCTGGCCTTGAACTCATGTGATCCTCCTGCTTCAGTATGAGTCCTGGGATCACAGGTATGAATCTCCAATGGACCACTACTTTGTATCTTGGGCGAGAACTTTACTTCTCTGTACCTCAGTTCTTCCTCAAGAAATCAGGGATCACAACAGATCCTATCTCATAGGTTTGTGAGATACAACGAGTTTACACTAACTTGAGTGGCTCACAGTAGGCTTGTAGTAATTATCTACTGGTTTTTTTTCCAGTACCAGGGATTGAACTCAGGACCTTAGCGCGGTGCCACTGAGCTATATCCTTGGCTTTTAATTATCTACAGTTAGTGATGATGGTGTCATCATTATAGGCTATAAAACCTTCTGTTGCCCCAACATGGTTTTCCATCCCCTATCTCTTTCCTGCTGAGTCTGTCTACAGACAGCCTCAACCTCCTTCTCATGATGGCCTTAGGGGAGGCACTATGATCTTCTGAGCAGGGCACATAATCTGACTTTCACCTCCATGGGCTGAGCAGAGGTGCGAGGAAAGGTGTGGGCACGGCCACTGCATGCTTTGGCTCCCGCCTGTCCCTCCTCAGTGCTTCTCACATAGAAGCAGGTTAGAGTTCAGCAAAGGAAGGGTTTAGCCCACACACAAGGTCAGGAAACAAAGAGAGAAAAAAGGAGTCAAAGGAAAGTGGTGAAAATGTCGAATTGAGTCCAGTGTCTCAATGTGTTGGACAAAGTGATGAGAGCTGATCTCCAACCAAACTGTCCTCCTGATCTTGAACCTGACATGTATGCATCCTGGGGAAACCATTGCGCCAGACATGACTGTGCCCATGAAAGGAAAGGAGAAGCCATCACTGCAAGTCCACCAAGGCAGTCAAGAATCTACAGAGGGCAATTTAAAAAATGTGGTTCTGGGGTCTGAAGCCAGGGGCCTGCACATGCTCTGCACATGTTTTACCACTGAGATATAGGCTTAGCCCTGGCAAAGGCAAATGTAACGTTGCTGGGCAAATATCAAGGTCCCCAAAGGAAGTAAAATCTATTTTAGGGTATGCTACAGTTTTAGCAAGCTAAACATCTCAGAAGATACTCAGAGAGCTGTACCAGTTAGTTGCTGGTTGGGTGACTCTGAAGGGGGTCCCCTGGCCCACCTCACAGGGTCATGGTCACCCTGTGAGCTCCCAGCAGTGTGTGTGCTCCACACTGATGACCCTCCTATACAGATGTCTGCCTATGGCGGATGGGTTAAATAGACGAGGGCTTTGATGCCATGGTGATGGGTGGGGGTTAGGAGCACAGGCTTTGGAATCCATTTTTGGGACCTCAGTGTCTTCCTCTTATATGGGGATCGAGAGAGTACCCACTCCCACCTCACAGAACTGTAGGCAGCAGAGGAAACTGGCAACTATACTAAGCACTAAAAAGCTAACAGGTCTAGAGTAGACAGAACTTCACAGGCCCTGTGCACAGCTCTGGGCCATTTGTTGACTGGCTCTGGGACGGGATGGAGAGGAAAAGGGCACAAAACAAGACTGAGGTGGGGTCAGAGCGGGGGAGCTCCAGGACAATCTGCACATCTTTCAGTTGGCACATATACAATTGTGTGTGTATGTGTGTGTGTGCACATGCGAATGAGCTACCTTCTTTTACCTTAACAATTTCCTGTGCCAAGATCCCTCCAACCACTGCACACACTGGGGCCATCTCAGAGAAGCAGTACCTAAAAAGACAGGACAAGTGAGATGAGGCACTAGGGAGTGGGGTCCAAGATGACATCTGCAGAAGTTCGGCAGTGAGGTCTCAGGGATGAAAACCGCTCCATTCAGACAACAACGCTAATACTGGGATCTAGGCAAGAAAATTAAATCTGACCCAGGGGTTCCACCTTTGAACTTTGGCAAGAAGGAATTCTTTCACCACTTTTTTCTTTTTAAAGTCAAAGGAAAGATATATCTGTGCTTCCTAAAAATAAGGTTCTACAAATATCATATGTTTCATTGCCCCGGTCACATTCTCGCAGTTCTCCTCTTACCATAATGGGTGCTGGTTCGATGTGCTTTTTCCAGATGAGTGTCAGGGGGCAGGCCTGTGTTAACATGTAGGAGCATGGGAAGTTGGGGGCCTGGCATTAAAGCATAGGGGCAAAACAGAAACCAGTCCCTCTGGGCTAGGATGGAGCATCCAGAGGACAAATTTTAGCTGATGCTGTTACGTGGTCCTCAAAACTGGCCATCCTGGGGCTGGGGATTTAGCTCAGTGATTCCACTGCCTGCCTTGCAAGAGCAAGGACTCGAGTTTGATCCCCAGTACAATCCGCCCCCCCCCCAAAAAAAACCCCTCAAAAACAAAACTGGCTATCCTGGAGACCAAAATACTTTCACCGAACACCTCAACGACAGACAAGGTGTGTTCTGCTAATTCTTACACAGTTGTTTTTTTCCCTTCTCCCTGATACTGGAGTTTCAACTCAGTGTGCACTGAGCTGCATCCTCAGCTTTTTTTTTTTTGGAGACAATGCCTTCCTACATAGTCCAGGCTGGCCTCGAACTTGTGGCACTCCTCCCACCTCAGCCTCTCGAGTGCTAGGATTATAGCCATGTACCCCCATGCCTAGCCCCAGCCCTTCTTTAAAGTTTTGAGACTAGGACTTGGCTAAGTCCCTAAGGTGGCCACACTGGCTTGAACTTGTGATTCTCCTGCCTCAGCTTCCAAAATGCTGTGATTATAAGCTTGTGCTACTATGCCCAACCTTTCTAGATATTTTAGCAAGTGCACATATCTAAACATCTATAATTTTATTTATTTTTAATTTTTTTCCAGTACTGGGAATTGAACTCAAGACCTTGCACTTGCCAGGCAGGAGTGGCACCACGAAGCTACATCCCCAGCCAACATATATAATTTTAAATCTAAGTAATATCAAATACTGTTGTGTGGCTGGTTAGCTCAGATGGTTAGAGTGTGGTGCTAAATCAACTACTATTTCTTTTTTTGTTTGTTTTTGTTTTTTGGGGGGTATCAGGGATCGAACTCGGGACCTTGCGTTTGCGAAGCAGGCGGCAGAACCACTGAGCTAAATCCCCGGCCCTCAACTATTTCTTTTGTTGTGCAATATACTGAAGGGTGCATATGCCATTTGACACAGCCATCATCCATTGTGGTATAGTTAACCCAACTATTCCATAAAAACTAGGCATGGAGGTACATGCCTGTAATCCCAGGTCTTGGGGTGCTGAGGCAGGAGAATCGCCACAAGTTCAAGGCCAGTCTGGACTACACAGGGAGACCTCTCTCTCTCTCAAACAAACAAATAAAAAACAGCAAAAAAACTATTCCATAAGGCAAATTTCTAAATATACAAATGCTAGACCTTGATATGTATGTATTGCCAAGTGCTATCTACAATCTATCCATTCCAACTCCCAGAAGCAGTGTCTGTGGATGTCATCTCCTCACACTCTGGCTGGGCAAAGCATCCTCCCAGCCTGTTAACCTCAGAGGTGGCCTTTCCTCTTGCTTATCAAGGTCCACTACAGGACTCTATGACGTGTAACATATGGAAAACTATAGCCCAGAAAAGCCCAGCACCCAGAAATACAGTGCTCAAAGATGATCAAATGTGGGAATAGTCCTTGTCACACACACACACATGCACACACACACACATACACACCAGGGGTGATGGTGCAGGCCTGTAACCCTAGCATTTGAGAGGCTGAGGCAGAAAGTCACTCCAAGTTCGAGGCCAACTTGGGCTCCATAGTGAGTTCAAGGCCTGCCTGGAGTACACAGTGAGACCTTGTCTCAAAAATTAAAAAAGATTACAGAATTCAAGGGGTAAGGGTAGGTCAGTGGTACAGTGGATGCCTAGCATATGCAGCATTGAGCTTGATCCCCAGCATTACAAAAAATAAAATTATACATGATTTCAATGTGGCTAGTGAGGCTGAACAAGTACTACTACTATTAACTACAACAACAGGAAGCCAGGTGTGGTACAGGCACATGCCTGTTACCCCAGCATTTCATTTCTGGAGGCTGAGGCTGGAGGACACAAGTTGGAACCCAGTCTAGGCAATTTAGTGAGACCCTATCTCAAAATAAGGAAAAAAAAAGGACGGAGGAACTAGCTCAGTGGACTCTCAGTTCAACCCAGAGTGTGAGCCTGTGTGTCATTGTAGGATTCAAGACTGATACATGAAAATCAATTGTATTTTGATACCACTAGCAATGACCGTTCTGAAAATGATGCAAGAGTCCCAGCCCTCAACTGATTTTGCTGTTGAGACTTGGTCTTGCTACATATTCCAAGCTCCCCTGAACTTGTTACACAGTTCAGCCAGACTCAAACTTGGCAATTCTCCTGGCTCAGCCTCCCCAGTACTGAGATTATACTCAACTCATTCATTCATTCATTTATTGGCACCGGGGAATGAACTCAGGACCTTGTGCTTTCAAGACAGGCGGTGGCACCACTAAGCTAAATCCCCAGCCTTTATTTTATTTTTGAGACAGGGTCTCCCTGTGTAGTCCAGGCTGTCCTTGAACTCATGATGATCCGCCTGCTTCAGTCTCAAAGTGTTGGAATTACAGGCATGAGCCACCATGCCCAGTCTCAATTGATTGTTTTTGTGTGTGTGTGTGTGTGGTACCAGGGATTGAACTTAGGACCTTTCACTTGCAAGGCAGGTAACAGAGCCACTGAGCTAAGACCCCAGCCCCTCAACTGATTTTTGACAAGGGTGCCTAGATTACTCAACAGTGCCAAGATCTCCATGTATGATATGACATAACTAAATTGGACTTAGGGGCAGAGCACTTGCCAGTCATGTGTGAGACCATGGGTACACTCACACACATACAAGAATTAAACTGACCCTGTACCTTAGTATCATGTAAAAACACTAATTCAAGAGCCAGGCAGGAAGTCCCTGCCTGCCTGCCTTCTACCTACCTCATGATTTCATAACCACCTTATGACTTTGTTCTGCAAAGGCTCTTCTCTAAGTGGAGTACACGGCAACTCACTTTCTGGGTCTCCCTCTGTCTCTCTTAGACAGAAGATATCTTTCCCTCAATAAGTGTTTCTTACTCTTTAAAAAACAAAAAAGAGGGCTGGGGATTTAGCTCAGTGGTTCTGCCACCTGCCTTGAAAGCACAAGGTCCGGAGTTCGATCCCCGGTACAAAAAATAAAGAAAGAAAGAAAAGAAAGAAAAGCAAAAAAGAACCAGACAGGAGGGAGGATTGCAAGTTCAAGTCCAGCATGGGCAACTTAGTAAGACTCATCTCAAAAAAAGGGGGGGGGGCACCCACGGTGCTAGAGATGTTAACTCAATTCAATGCTTCCCTTGGTCCAATACCACAAAAAACCCCCAAAAAGTTAGGTGGGGTGTTGGTCACTTGTAATCCTAGCACTTGGGAAGCTGAGGCAAGAGAATGACCTCATATTCTAGGCCAGCTTGGGCTATGTAGTCAGTTCAAGGACAACCTAAACTAGAAAGTGAGACCGATCCTGTTTTTTATTTTTTATTTTTGGTATCAGGGATCAAACTTGGGTCTTTGCGCTTGCATAGCAGGCGCGAAACCACTGAGCTAAATCCCCGGCCCCATTTTTTATTTTTTTAAAAGGGCCAGGGATTTAGCTCAGTGGTTTCGGCACTTGCCTTGGAAGCTCAAGGTCCCAAGTTTGATCCCAGGTACCAAAAAACACCAAAAAACAAAACAAAACAAATTTTTAAAAGGGAGAGCTGCTGGGAGTGGTGGCACATGCCTGTAATCCCATCACTCAGGAGGCTGAGGCAGGGGGACTGTGGTGAGTTCCAGCCAACCTGGGCTACATAGTGACTCTGTCTCAAAAACAACAAAACAAAACAAAGCCAAAAGTAAACAGGAATGATGTGAATGTTTAGAATGCTTTTGGTCATAATGATCCCAAATAATACAACTATCCTTCATCTAGTAAACAAAGGCCAATATACAATGGAGTATTACTCAGCACCAAAAAGGAATGAGCTACTGGTCTATAACAGAAGATGAATAAATTTCAAATGCAATAAGCTAAGCACAAGACACCAGGCTCAACTATGATCCCATTTATTTCATACTATGAAAAAGGCAGAACTAGAGAGAGCAAAAGAGTAGAACCAGTTGTTGCAGGGTGGCACATGGCACCATGAGGGAAGTATCTGGCATGATGAAACTTCTTTTGAGCTACTGTGGATTGACCTGGTTTCAAAATTTTAAAAAGGAGGGTGGGGGGGGCCTGGGGGCTGGGTGTGGCAGTGCATGCCTGCAATCCATTACTTGGGAGCCTGAGGCAGGAGATTGTGAAGCCAGTTTGGACAATTAGCTAAGGCCCTGCCTCAAAAAGCAAAAACAAAGAAGGGCTGGGATGTAGCTCAAGGCAAACATGCTGGGTTCAATCCCCAGTACCAAACATAGACACAAAAAAAGTTAAAATGGTTAATTTATATACACTTTAGCATAATAAAAAATTAAATACACTGCAAATGTTATATATACAAATTATGAATGTTTACCAAGTATTTGTAATAGTGGCAATAGTAAAAAGTTAAATATAACCAATAAGGTATTAGTTAACAACCATATATCTAGACAATGCAACATGAGATACAACTGAGATGATTCTATATTTACATAAACAGGCCCATGATATGCTGGAAAAAGGCTATTAAAGAACAATATAGAGTGTACGGTCTGTTTCAATAGCTAAACAGAGAAAAAATATGAGTGCAAATACAAAGAAAATTTCTGATCCTAGACCCAGAAATGCTACAGTGGCTGGAATTACAAGTGAACCCATTTTTGAACTTTACACTTTCTGGATACGGGCATCTGTTACTTTCATAATCCGAAAAGCAATAAAGCTCTCTGACAAGAGAATAAATAACATAACACAGAGAAGCGTGCAAGCAGATCTGTCAGATGAAAGCAACAAGGGCTTGTGCACAGCCTTCCCTGCTTGACAGCGGTACTGGGCAATTTGTGAGGGTAGCTCAGCTGCGAGATGGTGGCTCATCACCTCGCCAGCACCCCTACTCCATCTCAGGCCAACTCGAGTCTGTCCACAGACAGGCCTCAAGAGGCCACCCAACGCCTCTTACTTAAAAGGCAATCGAGCGAGAGCGCCTGAGCATATGAGACCGAGACACGGGAAAGCAGCTTCCACAGGGGGTGGGCAGGGAAGGAGAAGGCTGTGCAGAGAAAAGCTGGCCAGCAGCTCATTAGGCTGCTGCAAGGCAAGGCCCTTGACGCTGCCGCCCAGTGGTGCAGAGCCAGCCCATTCATCACTGTTAATGCCCCAACTAGCCACTCAGCTGCCCGCTCTAGCTGGGCACTGGGTACCAGGTATGCTAACTGCTGACTGCCGGGGTGGATCGGCTGGAACCGAAAGCTCCATGCAACCTAGGCCCACCTCCTCCCATGAAGCACAGAGCAGGGAATACCACTCCTCACACACTGGTCTTCCCTGCACTGAGAAATGAGTGCCTGGCTGACTAAGCACAGGACAGGGACTCCACCCAGGCCTATCATGTCACCAGTCCCTGACCTCAAGGTACCAATGTTACAAAAGCACCATGCAGACTGCTGGCCAGTTTTAGCTGATGGCTTTTTAGTTCAGGGCTCTGCAGGTGGTTCAAAGACGACAGTGCTGGCTGGGGATTTAGCTCAGTGGTTTTGCCACCTGCTGCGCAAGTGCAAGGACCCGAGTTCGAGCTCTGGTACCAAAAAAACCAATAAAACAAAAAAACAAAAAAAAACCCAGACCAATGCTGTACCTAAATAGGTTGGTATTGGCTAGTGTGTACAGGAGATTCCCAGCCGGAAGTGAAGAAATGAACTAGGAAAGAAGAAACCAATTTTTTTTTTTTTGCTTTTTGAGACAGGGTCAAAACAAACATAAAACATACATATACACATACATACTGAGGAAGGCTAGGGGTGTAGCTTGGTAGCACACACCTCAATTCCAGTACTGTGGGAGGCTAAGGCAGGAAGATCACAAGTTCAAGCTCAGCCTCGCCAATTTAGTGATTTACCAAGACCTTGTCTCAAAAAAATAAAATGTAGGTCAGTGTGAAGGCCCTGGGTTCAATACTCAGTAACAAAAAGGAAAAAGAAAAGACTGTCAAGAAATTATAAGTAGCTGGGCATGGTGACACAAGCCTGTAATCCCAGCACTTGGGAGGCTGAGGCAGGAGGATCACCATTATTCTGAGCCCAGCCTGGGCTACATAGTTCAAGGCCAGCCAGGAATATAGTGAGACCCTGTCTTGAAAAACCAACCAACCAACCTAAACCAAACTTAAATGGGGAAAGAATATACAATTCAAGAGATTGCTGTGACACTCACATGGAGCTCACCAGGTAAAGCCCAGGAGTTCTTCAATACATGGTGGTGCTGTTATTAGCTATAGAACTTTATAGACTGGTTGCTTAATTTCTCCTAGATTTGGTTTCCTCACCTATACAGTGCACTGTGAGGATGTGAGGCTTAAGAGAGATCAAGTATAGCAACAATCCTGGCATGTTACCTGGCATGTTACAGCTGCTCAATCACTTGCAGCCATCATCATCACTGCTATGACCTGGAGGCACAGCAAAGGAACCAGAGTGAGCAGCTGATCCCAGAACTGCTTGGAAGGAGCTCACGATCTGGTTACCATTTGATTTCAATCAAATCCCAAGCCCGACTGTGCAAGACAGCAGACTAGAAGTCTAAGGCAAGAGCATCCTTAGTACCCAAGGAGGAGGATGCTGAGAACCTGGATGCTTTTCTTGGTAGAGATACAGAATGACAGGTTAGCAATAGAGGAAAAGTGGCAATACTTACCCAAACAATCAATCATAACCTTCAGACCCAGCAACTCCCTTCCTACTCATTTACCCTGCAGTTACACCTGCACACACAGTGGCCCACAGTGTGTGACACAAAACGATACACCACAGTGTTCAATGTGACAATAAAAGCCTAAATTCCGGCAAGCAGGCCACTGGTTCAGTAAACCATATTGCTCCAAAGCCAAGTGTGGTAGCTCATGCCTATAATCCCAGCACTATCAGAGGCTGAGACAGGAGGATTACAAATTTGAGCCCGGCCTGTGGAATTTAGCAAGATCCTGTCTCAAAAAACTAAAAAAAGGCTGTGGATATAGCTTAGTTTGAAGGTCCTGGGTTTAACCCCCAATACCACAACAAACAAACAAAGAAACCAAACAAATATATCCCAGCTCAACATGCTGGGACACTATAAAGCTGTAGAAAATAAATTATCCACTCATCAGGAAATGGCACCCAAAAGATAACAGAAAGTAAAAAAGACACAGACAGGATAGTGTTAATGTAACTTATATGGCCTTTTTTTTTTTGTACTGGGATTGAACTCAGGACCTTGTGCTTGTTTTGTTTTGTTTTTGAGGCAAGGTCTCATTAAGTTACCCATACTAGGCTCAAACTTCTGATCCTCTTGTCTCAACCTCCGGAAGTGCTGGGGTTACAGTAATGTGCCACCATACCTGGCTCCTGCCTTGAATTTTGTTTTCTTGAGACATGGTCTTGCTATGTAGTTCAGGCTGGCCTAAAATTCATTATGTAGCCCAGGATGGCCTCAAATTCATGTCAATCCTCTTGCTTCAGCTTCCCAAGTGCTGGGATTACAGCCATGCACCACCACACCCAGCCTGTCTTGAATACTGAACCATGTGAATATAAGTATTTTAATATATTGTCAAAATCAGAACCTGTGCCTCTTTTATTTTCATCCCAGGAGAGAAGAAACGGGCTCAGGGCTGGCAGAATGCTGCACAGGGTGTTCTCAGAATGAGGGTCTCCATGAAGGGTCTCCCCAAATCAAGGCAAACACTGGACAGTGACGTTTATCTGTACAGGCTAAGCTCTGAAAAATACTCAGACTAACCTGACAAAGTCGTCGGGAAGCAGGTCAGGACTCACACCCAGAGAGTCAAGGACATCATTCCGAATGTGAAGCAGCAACTCAGAATCTTCCTTATAGGTATCAGAATTAGGGTCTCTTCCTTTATCTGTGCGGAATTTCAGAAGCACTGGGAATGGGGGAAAGAAGGGAGGTTATAAAGCCAGGCCTTTTATAGTGAATGCTTATAGGTACCACTAACATCTTTTTTTATAGGAAGTAGTACATAAATTAAAATGTGGGCCAAACGAAAGGTAATGCACTTCATTTATCCAATAAATAAAGCCAGAGAAACAACAAAATAATTAGAAAAACAAACTGGCTGCAATAGTGTGATAGTATGATGAGGGTCTGACACCCTCTGCAGGATGGTGTCAGGTAAGGCTTCCCTAAGGATGCCTTGACAAATGAGAATGAGAGGGAGCAAGAGAGAGGGAGCGAGAATGAATGTGTTTCCAGTAGGGGAAAGGGCCTGGTTATGGCCTGAGGAGAGGTCAGGATCGGGAGGCATGCATTCTAGGCATCAGTTCAAAGAGCTGCTTCACCAGAAAAGGGGGCCAAATTCTCAGACTCATGAGACATGCAGGTCATTAGATCATGTCAACCCAGTAACGGATGTTTAATTTTGGCTGTGAACCAGATGAAAGGTTCTGATGATCTTTAAGTCAGAGCTATGTGTAAGGAGGCCCCAATATGGCTAAAGCTTTTAGCCCAAACAAAACCCCCATAGAAATACTATATGGCTGCCTAGGATACAGGCACATTTTACTGCCACTGTACCTTATCCTGATGCTACCCATGTCCTGGGTGGCCAGGCATTGTTCCTTCTGTGCTCCCCAAGGGAGAGGGATAGCTGGCCTTGAGTCTAGCCCCTCAGGGTGAGCTCTTTCTCCTATATCATAGGTTACTTGAGAATGGAAGATGAGACATGTGGATCAGCATCCAGGCCCAAGCCCTGGGTGCTCTAGGACAGTACTTCAAATTACAGTTGCCCAAGTACTTTCATTTAAGTCTTGTCAGCAACTGCTGATGGAAAAAGTAAACTTATTCAGTAAATTATATGATTAGTACAAGAGTTCTTCCCTAAAAATCAAGTTAGGCTGAAAACTAAAGCAATCTGAAGTTGTTGTGTAGATTTTATTTATTTATTTATTTTGGTACCGGGGATCAGGGGATCGAACTTGGATCCTTGAGCTTTCGCAGCAGGCAGGGAAACCACTGAACTAAATCCCTGGCCCCTGTCGTGTACATTTTTAAAAGTACAAAAACATTTGGGCAGGCATGGTGGTGCACGCCTGTAATCCCAGCACATGAGAGGCTGAGGCAAGAGGATGCCATGAGTTTGAGGACAGTCTGAACCACAGAGCAAGACCTACTCTCAAAAAACAAAACAAAAACAAACAAAAACAATACAAATTCTAAGCATTTGGCTCCTACTCATGAAGAACTTTGGCAATGAGCACCCAGGGTTGACAACCACTCTCTAACAAGCTTGAACTCATTACTCACCCAGCCTGCCTCACTGGGCACTCACCTGCCAGGCAGACCTAAGCACAAAAGTAAGTACAATGGCGAGTGAGATGATCTCTTGCACCTGTGAACATGATGGTCATCAGAACAAATCACGCCAGAGACCTCAAGAAGCACGTGTGGCTGTCTATGGCAAACCACAGAGTGAGTAAAAGAAGCCACAACCTGTTACTGGGACACATGTTCCTCAGTGCCAATGATGGAGAAAAGCCCCAGGTCTATAATTTCCCTGGTAACTTTCTCATGTCCAGTGTAGGGTTCTCCATCCCCAATGCTCCAAGATAACTGTTCATTCTGAATCCTGTTTGCTGTCTGGGAATCTTACTCTGTTTTAGGGATACAACTTCTGGAGCCCTCATGCTACCTGAACACTTGGTAAACAACTCAAATTGGACAATATGGACGCTAGCTAACCTCAATCTATCGTCACCTAAACTTAATCTCTAACTCATAGATATGTGGCTGATACCCCGATCTGTAGGAAATGCACTCCCGGGCTGGGGATTTAGCTCAGTGGTTCCGGCGCCTGCCTCGCAAGCACAAGGTCCCAAGTTCGATCCCCGGTACCACAAAACAAAAAACAAAAAAAAAAAGGATCACATTGGAAATGCACTCCAGCAAGCATCTGAGGGTTAATGCAGAAAGACTGGAAATGGCAGATGCTCCATTTTGGAGCAAGCCTCTTTTCCCATAATGTCCCACAAAAACAATGAAATCTGGAAATCTGCTAGTACAGACAAAGCAGAGGATGCTTCATGTGATCTGTGTGGAATCTCAGTGATTATTTCTGTCAATGACTTCCAAGAGGACAGAGAAATATGACCTCAGCAAGAGAATGGGTACCAGAGCTGCCTGAGCAGATGACAGAGGCAATATCAAGTGCAGGGTGCTTGTACCACACAACACAAGGACCAGTGGCTTGGCATAACCAAGTGAGGCTACTTGCTTTCTTCTTTTTTTTTTTTTTGGTACCGGGGATCAAACGTGGGACCTTACACTTGCAAGGCAGGCACTGGAACCACTGAGTTATATGCCCGGCTACTTGCTTTCAAATTGCTGGGCTGAGGAACAGTAGCAGAAACACTATGCTGGCAGCTCCTGCATGATTTCCCCTCTCATTTCTGTGTCACTGGGACAGAAACACCAACTGTCACAAGAGTACAGGTAATTTTTTTCAACCCTCACAAACTTTTCATCTTTTGGTTAGAAAATACAGCTCTGGGAGTAGAGCCCAGTATCAGAGTGGCCACCATGTGCCGAGCACTATGCCAAACATGTATGTAAAAGCACTCAGTCCCTTCTCATCATAACCTGGTGAGGTCAGTCAGTACCATTATCTACCTACTCTACAGGTAAAGGAATCGAAGTTCAGAACATTAAGTAGCTGTTCACTGTAATTGCTAAGAAGTAGCAGAGTGGAAATGTAAACTCAGATCTGGCTTCCTAACCTAAGGCAATGCAGGGGAAATGGCAGGCCCGTGCAGCAACACAGAAGCCAAGCAGTCTGGCTCTGTCACCATCTAAGAAGGGCCTCTATTTGACCACATTTTTGTAAGATGCATTTTCAGGATGGGCCCTGAACTCTCACAACAGGTCCATTCATTGTAAACTAGTTGCTCAGAGTGAGCAGTGCAAGCAGAGGCCATGGCAAACCTTGCCCATCAGTCTTCAGAGAGCAAGACCGGTTTCGTCGCATAAAGAAATTAGAGGGCACCATGAGCAACAGGGGAGGCAGCCAAGCAGCTGGCCCCTGCTTCTTCAGCCCCTTGGCCTGCTCCAGTGCAGGCTGCCTGGCTGAGGACCAGCAGGCTGCCTGGCTGAGGACTGGCAGGCTGGCACCAGCCACATACCTCACTGACCACATCTGAAGTGCTCTCAGGGCCACTGGGAAGGAGACCAGTCAGTTGGGCCACTTATTTCAGTAAAGCAAACAGAAGTTGCCCTTTTCACTCTTTTTTAAATGTCAGCACTACAGTTAGGGGGCGGAGGGGGCAGGAAAAAAAACCCATGTTCTAGAAAGGCAGCAGCCTCAGGACTGACCCTCACCCCTGACAAGTTCTTGCTTATTAAATTCTCCTCTTTGTTCTGTTTTCCACCACTCCCAAATAGCCAGACGCATACACACTGCTGTTGACACTGCATTTCTGAAGAGCACCTCCCCACCAGTTTACAGATTATAAACCTGTTCTGTTAAGATCAAACAGTCAGGGATGGAGAGCTGCTCTGGCAAAAGATGACTCATTGAATTGTATCAAAACACTGCACAAAATTAGAGTTCCAAACTTGATTAACTTCATCTGAACCTTTTAATTAACTCAGGCTGCTGAAGTCCAGGGGGATGATACATCCACTGCTGGAGATGATGGGTTGGTGTCTCTGCTTAAATTCCGGACTTGCCCATGTAATGGAAAAGGCAAACTTTGAACGCAAGAGAACAAGCACCATTCCAAGTATTTAAAAGAGAAAAAAACGAAATTAAAACAAAAACAACAACAACAAACTGTGTGAATAAACTATCATAAAATTACTTAATACACACATTTAATCTAAATACGGAATATCAAATTAGTACCACAATAGGATTTTTTGTTTGTTTATTTTGAGACAGGATCTCCCTATAGAGTCCAGGCTGGAACTCTTGGTGATCCTCCTGCCTCAGCCCCCTAAGTGTTGGGATCACAGGCCTGTACCACCACACCTGGCTACAACAGGATTTTGAATAGCAATTTTTCTCAACACTAGGGATTGAAACCAGGGCCTCCTCACACATGCTAGGCAAGAACTCTACTACTGACTTATACACCTGGCCCTTTTTCTTTGTTGTTCATTTTTAGACAACTTCATATGAAGTCACTAAATTGCCCAAACTAGACTTAAACTTGTAATCCTCCTGCCTCAGCCTCCCAGAGTGCTGGGATTAGAGGCATAGACTACCACGCCTAGCTGGAAAGCAATTTTATTAATCACCATTTTGTTTTGAGGCAGAGTCTCCCTTTGTAGTTCAGGCTGCTGGCCCTGAACTCACTATGTAGCCCAGGCTGGCCTTGAACTCAGTGATCCTCCTGACTCAGTCTCCCCAGTGCTGGGATTACAGGCATGTGCCACCACACCTGGCTAATCACTGTTTCTTTTTATAAATTTATTACATTCAAATATTGTAATTTTAGGGGTTGGGGATGTCAGTGGTAGATGGCATGCACAAGGCCTGAGCCTTAATCCCTACCAACACACAAAATAAAAATAATCAAATATTCCAATTATATTTAATGTAATCATTAAGGTCACCAAAAATAAAGCCAAGAAACCCAAGTATTTCAATAGGAAGAAAATAAAGTTAGAGTCACAAATTAGCCCCCAATACAATTGCTGTTCCCAAAAATGGTTTAACTGAAGGGGGAAGCTGAACATGTATCAAAATCTCGTTTTGTTTGATGCCTGAAGCATTTCTGGCCAAACACACTTGATCCCCAATCTTTCTGGCTTTCCCCAACCTAACGTACTCTCCTCCCCCAGCTAGCTCACTTAGTGAGGACTCATGATCTCTGAGGAGTCTGGAAATCCACTCCTCTCAGGGAACATACATTTTCAGGAAAATGCAAA